GATCGCCCCCCCCCCCGATGATTTTGACTATATCTGATGACGAAGCTATCGTAAAATAGCACGCCTGGTTCAGCTCCCTCAATGACATCTACAGTAGCTTAGCTATATGTTACAGAAAGACCATGCAGAAGTTCAGAAACCACTGGCCTCTATTGCATATCCAGGATTGCGTTGTAGCCCAGGGTAACTAACGACTTGGCCCAGTGAAACCAAAGAAGCAATGGAGCAACTTGATCTGTCCCTACCCGTCGCTGGAGCCAACATGAAACCACGATCTGTACGGATCTGGTAACCGACTATCGGTCACTGAAGCTTACTAATCAAGTTTCAGGTGATAATCACTTTAAACGAAAGTAGGTGAGAAATTTAAACGGACAGACTAGTATTCCTGACCATTAGCTAAATGTTTTGGATCAAGAAGTACGAGGACTGCAAACAGCGGAGCTATATGTGAGGTCACTTCGCCGGAGAATACAGCGAACCCTTTATCAAGCTAATCCGTGAATGTTCTATGTTGATCACAACAATTTCGGTGTTTCTGAGCTGTAAAACCTCTGAAACAGTTTCTGTGCGCAGACGGATGCAGAGAATGCGTCAAGTTCATTTTTGCAGCGTGTAATTTTGAGAGGCGAAACCTTCTCTGCATGAATATTTAGTAGTTCTCAGAATGGAAGAATTTTGGTCGGAATATGTTATGTATAAGTGCTGGAGTTCCGATCTGTAATCGTGACTGGTGATTGCAATAATCTATTACTACTAGAACCCACCTAGGTAGAGATGACTCACATCACCAGACCTGTGCAATGTCAAGTCCGAGAGTGATGTTGATAACATACGTTGGTAGTTGTTTAATTTGATTCAAAAACGGCGAATGATTGTAAATCAGGTTATAACGATGTTTAGAAAGAAAGAAAAGAAAGCGTTCAGCTGCAGCATCCTTCCGGTGCCTAGCTGCCATGCCACCCGAAGGAAGCACGAGGGCTGGGATACTGCCAGGTTGCCCAAGCCTAGACAGGGGAAGCGAGTGGCGGAGGTCGGATTCGAACCACGGACCTTCCGGTCAGTACATTCGTGCTCTAACCACTTGGGCCATTTCGCCCCTAACGATGTTATTGGAAGAACGATGGTCATAACGAATCAAAAGTTGCCCCCCCCTCGTACTGTATGTACTTAACGATGTTTAAGTACATACAGTACGAAGGGGGGGGCAACTTTTGATTCGTTATGACCATCGTTCTTGTTTGCGTTCTGTGTGCTAGGTTGTCGAAATGAATCGACCGCTGTATAACGATTACGATGGGTAATGCGCAGCAACTGGCGTTCAGCCAGACCGGGACACTACAAACTTCAGTGACGAAAGTATGTAAATATTGAAGTATGAAAGTATAGTCTACTCTGGATCGGATATAAAGCTCTTCCGATAAAATATGAAACGGTCGTAATCCCCTCTGCAACCAACCTAAGCAACTGTAAATCGAAAGAAACGTCAGGATGAAGTGAAGCACAAAAAGTTGGACCCTGTAAGCCTGTCACCAGCCGAATAACAGAAAAGCGGTATAATTGAAAAGTGCGCATCAAAAACTTACAACGATGCACTCTACAGGACTCTCATGCAAACGATCCATTGTGTGCAGCAGGTCGTTTTTACTCCTGGCATCGTAGATACGGATTTTGGGACTGCTCTGGTCCGAGCTACGAATGAACATAAACAAAAGACAGTAACCAAGCAAAGTTTAGTGTAATGCGCGCGATCATAGTTGTCTCAGTAGTCAATGAACAACCACAATTCAACCTCTTGTTCTAAGTTTGTCGCCTAAAGGTAGGTCAACTTGTGCCAGGCGCATTAATTAATCATCGTGCCCAGTATGGTTACCAGATTGTCGTTCGAAATCTCAAGTGAAACAATTATCGCTGAAGCGTGAACACGTTTCCCTGTTGAATCGTGATAATTCAGGTGTATTTAGTGTGTGCAGCGAGTGCTAACAGGCTTGACTCGACACTAGGATTCCAATCCCAGGACGGCCAAGGATAAGCACTGCTGATCGGGTTTTCAGGAGTCCCATGGACGCCTCGATTAGGCGCAAATGCATCAGAATAGTCTTCCTAGGGTATGAAGATTGCTGAAACGAGTGTCCGGCACAAAATCAAAACACACACGGTTGACTCAGAGAGAATGGCAACCAGTCCGAACTTGAGCAGCTTTGGTATCCGGCCACAACAGGTATTATGGAATGGTAAACTTCCGAGGCCCTTTCTCCGAACTGTTTGCGAAGCACTATGAACTTCATAAACGCAGGTTCCAACGTCCAATGAAGTACTCGTCGTTTCATAAATGTTGCAAATGTTCGAATACATCTTATTCTCAGAAACGTCGCGCCCTTAATAAGGCACAAACAAAGAATTCGCCGACAACCTACGTTCGGAAATCGTTAGATGACTACCTTCCAACAAGATGTGGCCACATCCATCTACGTTGATGCCTACGTAACACTATTCCCAACAATGAGTACTGAAGATAACAGTATTTTCATCACATCATCACACTCTCTTCAACAAACGTAGGCTAATTTCCTGGACCAGAAACGAGTGATCGATGTTTTCGGGGCATCCTTCATAGAAATGCCCTTATCAACGAGGTTGCAGAAAACTTGGCATAGGCAATCACATTCTCTTTCCAGGGAAAAAGCACCTTCATTTTAAAAGTCCGAAATGCAAAACGAAAGCGCATGAAACCAACTTACATGGCAAGAGTGGAAATTTCATCCTTTGGAGTGTAGATGAAGCAGCATCCAGACGGGATAAAGTCAAGTTTCATCATGCTGATCATATCTGAGCAAACAAATGAGGGGGGAAACGGAACTCGCAATCAAACTTTTATACTCTTTTTGAATAAGCCATGCACTCTTGTCCATTACGCAGCTCAGTAGAAGAAACCCACATGTAACCCTGCAGCAACGGAAACACCATACGTAACAGCTCGTACAAATGCACGTGGCTAGTGTCATCTAGTTATGGATTGCTACTCATGAACAGAGATTAAAGGAAGTGCAATGTTCTGATTGACGAAAGGTCGAATTAGTAAGCAGTGCGTCCTCTTTATTGTCCACAACACAGGAGTACGAAAGGAGGAGTGGTTAATGTACCTTGGACATGCGCAACCAATGGTCCTCAACGAGAGCAATACTCTCCCCTGAAGGGTTGTTATACCAAGAAGGGCGCCAAGGAAACGTCATCGAACGGCATATTATCCTGATACACCAGAAAACCTCACCATAGGTGTTTGTAAGAAGCCCAGCTACTTACTCCCGCTCTCTCTCTCATGATCGTTGCAAGGGATGTTGTGTCCTCAAATAGAAGTCAGTGTGATAACAATGGTATCGATAGGTAACCGAACATGCATAAATCGCTCGGCTGTAACACCCTCTCGGCGCATAGGTGTCACCAGAATGAAACACCAGAGATGGGATACTCTCAGGTTGCCCAAGCCCAGATGGGAGATGCAGAGGTTGGGTTCGAACCACGGACCTTCCGGTCAGTAAACTCGCTCTTTAATCACTGAGCTATCTCGAGCTCAATGCTCAATCTGTCGAAGAACGAAGCCAATAAGTGCGTTAACCTCAGTAGCTAACACACTAAATCAGAAATCTATCACGTGATGTGTGAACTTCATTTCGACGCGACATCTTTTCGCTAACATTTAGACAACTTAGGAAGCAAAAATGACCGTCACTGCATCCTTTAAAATACTAGAAGCCAACGCACGGGCAGCAGTTTGTTACTGTTGTGGTGATTCTCATAGTTTTAGTGAGTAACCTGAAGAGGATACAATCTCTTCCTTGCATGTACCGTTTCACAAATAATCTAGTCATGCGGCCTTAATACAACCAATTAATTGTTTAGCGGCTACGCGTAACAGTGGTCCAAATAATCGGATTGGGATTTTTGAGTCCATTAGTCCGACATTTTGAGTCTCAAAGTGTCTTTTTTACTTTTCGGGAAGTCTTTGAACTACTCGAAGGCACCCAATTGTTGCCCCGAACTTTTCACGGTTCTCGAGACGTATCTGCTAAACACCGAGTTTGCCAGACTTGATGTTAAGTATATGAGGAGGGTGTGCTTATTACTGAAAAGCGGTTAACTATGGTAGGAACTCATCGAAGATCGGTCCGTGCATAAAATTGATAAATAATCCAAGCCTATAGACTGGGTACTTATCGGAACCCCCAAGAGAATCGTGAGAGATTAGGAATACTACCTAACCGTTCTCAAGTAATTTGGATGCCCAGCCAAATTTGTCCCCTTGGCGTTACCAAAAAACAGCTATTCGTCATTCAGACAAGTGTGGTTAATGGCCATGAAAACTATTAGCCATAGGGACAAGTGACCGATCTTGCTACATCTCTCTGGTGAGTTCGAAAAAGAACGAAACGCGTCGTGGGTCGCTCTGCAGTGCTAATCTAATCCTGCTCTTATAGGCAATCTTATTTCGAACGCAGTTCATGTGAACCCAAATGCATCCCAGCCACACGCTCTTGCTAATTCCTGACACCTGACGTTTTAACTCGTTTCTGGTGAACGGCGCTGTATTGCATTTTATTGTTGTTGTCCTTTTTAGTCAAAACAGATAGGGATCGTGTAAAAACGATGTGGGCGTACCTGAAGCCGTAGTAGATTCATTGAAGCTGCGTTGGTACAAAATGTTGACGCCGACTAGTAGCAAAGTGAGGCTCGTTCACTCATCGTGTAATTTACATCCACCTATCCAGGGACAAATGTTCAGTACAGGCCACATCTGTGATTCCAAACACGTATTCCTGAGTTTGTCAAAGGTCTCAAGCAGTGCGCTACAGCCGTAAACTTGAAAAGACAGAAGCGAATAACTACAGTAGTCTACTGCATTGTTCCGCATCATTCGCAGTAGATGGCCTGCCTGTCCTTTACGTTTCTTGACCCTAACAACTGGTACTAAGCTAGTTGCTCGTTGCTAAAAGCTGTCAATTCCAAGGGCCAAACTAGTTTATGCGTTGAAACATGGGCACCATATGGGTGACCACAATTCACTTTAAATGGACATAGATGCCGCGAAACAACTGTGTCCATGGAGAACAAGCGCTTACCGAAATTAAGTACATCAAATACCTTTGCCGTTTTGTCATCACCCACAGTACAGGCAAGTTCACCGTCACAGCTTGCCGACAAGCCATGGATCGCTCCTGTAGGAAGAGAAAACACGAAGTAACACAGAATTCGAACCGAACAACTTCACGGGTTAACCAAGATGTGTTTTTTCTTTGCTTCAACGATAAGCAGCTGTTCATACAAAGATGGTTGGTGGACACTGGAGATAACGTACGTATGAAATTAAAACGTTTCATGTGAATCGCTATTGAAGTCCCTAAAAGTATTTAACATTTTAGCGAACATACACTCATTTGCAAACTAATTTGTTTTTTTCGAGAGACTCACCTGGAACCCTGCTGAATCTCTCGTTTATGATGTTCTCAGGCAACTGAATGTGCTGCACCAGGCCGCCTCATGTTTCAGTCGCTACGATATTTAACATATCGCGATACGTGTATATCTTCGTAATGTACTACTCATAAGGTTGCTGATATACATGTATCGCGATATTTCAAATATCACAGCGACTGAAACATGAGGCGGCCTGGTGCAGCACATTCAGTTGCCTGAGAACATCATAAACGAGAGATTCAGCTGGGTTCCAGGTGAGTCTCTCGAAAGAACCAAATTAGCTTGCAAATGAGTGTATATTCGCTAACTTCGTGCAATTTGGTTTCAAGTAGAACATAAGGTTGACGGAAACCCGGGGACTGCGCCTACTTGATGAGCCCCAAGAAGGGCGAAACCGGTCGTGGGCTGTCGATGGATTTTCAGCAACCTTATGAGTAGTACGGTACAAAGATATTTAACAGTTTCTCCAAAGAATCATACCGGCGTCAGTCTAAAGGCTACAAGGCCGAACCGCATATTTTCCGTATACTCAGTCTTCAATGTAACTGATTAGCCCTGTGCCGATACCTCATTACGGTGATGGTGTGCCATGACACAAAGATGTTCCATCAGAAACCGAACATAGACGAATAAAATTCCATCGGTTTCAGGAGATTAGCTAATGGTTCGAAAGCCACTCAGACACTGCGATTATATCTTTAACACTGAATGAAAGCATTTGCGGTTAGCTAGGACTCCAGAGACTTGGTACATGAAAATGTTGAAGGTTAGGTGTAAAGGTTCTGTTGGGACGAATCCAGCTAGGGGAATAGGGTAAGACTGCTGTGGGAGTGGAATAGAAGAATGACATCCACATGCACCCACTTTGCGAATTGCTCTCAGGTTTTCGAAGAAAATAAACTGCGGTACCGTGTGGTAGCAACAGGAACCCTTTGTAGAAAGGTCAACTAGTGGCTGACAAGACAGCAAAAAAAAGCAATAAAACAAGAGACGTACCCAAATGCGCACGGTAGTGTTTAACGAATTCCAGCCCAACCCCTTCTGCCTTGCGCCAAAATTTCAAATGTCCGTCGTTGCTGCAGGTCAGGAGGTACTGAGTCCTGAAAGTAGAGAGTAGGCTAGTAGATCAGATGATAACAAGAGAGAAAGCGCACCAAGAAAATTATGGGTAACGATGTTGTACATACACACTGCATTGCTAGGACTGTGAAACGTGTGTAATTGCCTACAGTGGATCTGAGGTATTGTGTACTGTCAATCGAGTTAGATCACAAGAACACGGGGAGATGTCCTACGACTGGTTGGCCAAGTCTATTCAGCTGACAGCCAAATAGAAGCCATGTCGAATTGATCTGTACTGTCTTCCACTCAATGTCATTTCAGTGTTGTGTGAGAGAGTTAGCCATTTGTGACCGTCATCACTGTCTTGGTGAGACATTCCACTTACATCATTACTCAGATGCATGAATACCGCGCAGTTAGGTCTTGGATCGAACTGATAAAGCACGAGTTTAATGTATCATCCCACTAAAAACCTGCAATCACTGTTCACTTGCTGCGTTCGGTTGAAAATGTGTCGCAAGCAGGTAGCACTTGACCTTGGTCGAATTCGGTGATGTAGTATACATTTTTGACAGCACAAATGATGCATAACTTAAGTATCATTTATTTTTGAAGAGCATGGTCACAAACATAAAAAGTGAATGCAAGCGATGAATGCGAAAGAGTGACAGGAGAATATGGGAGAAAAGAGAGAAACGTCTCATTCGAAATCATGCCAAGGACAGTGCCAGTCTGATGAGGTGAATCCCAAAGTATGTTAAGATTTTGGTATGGGAACACGCGTCTAAAGACTAACAACCAAAGAAAGGACAAACAATGGTGAATGCTCTTCAAGGCGCTGTATGCGCTAGCACAATCAAGACTCGCACATCAGGCACAAAGTGACCGTCATACTGGGTCTGGGGTGAGATTAAATGGCAAAAATGTACCTTCAGCTCCATGTGCCACGCACAAAAGTGTCATAAGTATGCAGGGAGCCCAAAATGGCAAGCAAACACAAGTCACTGACTGCGACCTTAGGAAGTCCCAGTCCAATAACAGCCTTAGCGGATTGAGGAAAGCAGATCCCTCGATAAGAGATGATCACCGGTTGGTGAACCAAAAAGTCGATATCACAACCGATGGCATGTAGGGCTGAGATTATGGCGAGGGAATGTTCATCAGCACCATACTTCTGCTTCTTCTCATTCCACACTATCTCTCAACGCCCATCCGAGACTATGCTGACGTCTATTACAGTTGCACGGCGATCTCGAACAGCGATTAGGTCAGGTTTGATGAACGACGCAGAAGTAGGGGCTCTCAACTCCTCGAAGACGGTGTACCCCAGTCGACGGAGACGTTTTGCAAGTTCCCTTGCAACCCGATTATGACGAGCACATCTGGCATCATGCGTAATCCAGCAGGATTGCACCAAACTCTCCGGTTGGCCACAGTTTCCACGACATAATAACGTCTGGCTACCATGACCATGCCGAGCGCTTCTAACTCTCATCCTAAGCAGGTTGCATCGGAGCTGGATACCCCGGATAAATAATCGACCTTTTATTTCTTGTCTAGCATGTTTCAAGCGTCCATCGCGCTACCTGGCTGGGAAGACCTGGAGGGCGGGCTAATCAATCGGTACAACCTGGGCAGATACTGGATCGCCGTTCAAGGGGTCGGGCGAACCAATAAAATCACTTAAACCTGAACACGTTCGCCTGTTCAGATGTAATAATTTAGGCGCATCCAAAGTGAGCTGGGGGAGTTGGGGAAAACGCTCGCCCCGCATCTCAGGCTTCCGGAGTTCAAATGCACGGCTGTTGAGCTCTAATACGCTTCCCACCGTTTAATATGGATTCACAAGGAAAATTGCGCCTGGAAAGAATAAGGATTATTCGGATGCGCATGTGAACTCCTGTATGTTTGTTTTGATTCCATAAAAACGGGTTGCAAATCCAATCAAAAGCGAACATTCGTCGGAACCGATCGTTGCTGGAAAAATACACACTTAGTTATCCATCCCGATGTGAATGGTCGGGGAGAGGTGCGACTGTCTTTTCCATTTTTGGCCCTCTCTCTGGTTAGACAGTGAAAAATTACACGTCTGACTCAGATGACAGGCTGCTGTAACAATTTCCTTATGCACAGGTATGTCCTAGCTCCACAAGTTCCGAATTACTGAATGTTTGAGGATACAACGAGCTGATGGGAGCGATTTCATCATACTCAGTCATCTATCATTGAAAGCGTTCAAGACACCGGAATTCTAGTTAACGAGTCTCAGAGGAAATGGGAGATGTTCCATTTTCTCACTTGTCTCAAAAGAATACATCCCTTAATGAGAAGACGAGTTCCAGCATCTCCAAGAATTTCCCCGTGAGGGGAGTGTGGAGGTCAAGCCAAAATAACAGCACTGTGCAAAGGAACATTTTCAAGCTAAAATGGAGGCAATCCATCCTTGGCTCATCTGACAGCAATTGCATGCATTAAAGCTACTCATACCTGCTACCATCTACCACATCTCTCTTTGATATCCTGTCGCATCTGCCGGACAGTGTTTGCAGTAATCAAGTATGGCCATTGCATCTGCTGGACAACCTCGTTATATACTGGAGAGACAGTGTATCTGGTAACACCATTCTTTCCTCCGATCTGCTGTTGCGACCGCTCGCATACAATAATGGTTACGCCCGCCAGAACCGCCTACACAGGATGTGATGTAGACTTTATAAATCTGTAATAGGTCACATACAAGAACGGGACGATAATATATCAAGTACGCGAAGTCTAACTGATGGTAGGAAAAGCTGGTGTTTATCAGGGGATACGCAAATAAGCGAAGTCACTTGACTACTGAGAATGGTGAAAGTAGTTGGCAACGCCCGGGAAAATAGTAGTGCAGTTGATCTGCGATGGTGGCGCAGATGACGGAACCATTGACATATCAATTTTTAAAACCACAAACATACAACTGACTCACTCACTTTGTGTAAATTACGTGTGTGATTGAGTTACGATGCATGTAGCTCACTTCATAATACTGCGCGGTTGGGACATTGCGTAGATAGATTGCTTCATCTTTGAGTACTGCAAAGAAGCATGCACGCGAAAAGCAGATCAGCTAAATCAGCATGATAGATCGTCAGAGAAAATCGATTACTACATGTATTTATCTCACCTAAAAAAATAACAACGAGAACACTGAGAGAAACAAAGGAAGGTTCGGACAAACCAAGGAAAGCACCATGCAAAATTACGAGGCCAAATAATCAAAATCCATGAAAAAGTTGAAAGACACAAAGACATTGTAACCGAGTGCATTAAACGACCGAAATGCCCTAGGCGCGGGTAATTTGTCGCCCAAGAGCTGTCAACGAGGTATCGGCCTCCAGGAGGATTTGAACTGGAAAGTTAAGAAAAACACTGGACCTCTCTCAAGTAGCCGAATTCCATGAAAAAGTTCACCGCAAAGGCTAAGCCGACAGAGTACCTCCATCCATAACTGCCTCGTTTTTGAATGAGATTAGTACACACGGCGTTGCAGGTAATGCTAGATGATAACTGTCAGCTAAAGGGAAGCGCGACCAATTCTGCCACATCCACCTGAGGTGCTCCATTCAGGATGAAATGTGTAATGCAAAACTGACAACATTCCACCTTTATTATCGTCGTTCAGCTGTAGCACCCTTTCAGTGTCTAATCGCCACGCCAACGGAAGAAAGCACGGGGGCTGGGATACTGTCAGGCTGCCCAAGCCTAGACAGGAGCAGTCAGGATGCTGAGGTTGGGTTCAAACCACGAATCTTCCGGTCCGTAGGCTGGCACCTCAACCACTGAGCAATCTATAGCCTTTATACGTAACATAGTCCTTACAAACATCGGACTGATATTTTGTGTTTACAATGTCTACACCAATAACCGAGCAAGAGACGGATTCCTCAAGGATCTGTCGTATCCTAAATTGTAGGACTAATCAAGTGCCGAAGGAAATATTCAATATAACACCCAGAAAGCGATCGTGGCTCTTACGTAATTCGGTTATCGCCTCTCATTTGCTAAGAAGACACGACTGATCGCCATTCAGAGAAAACCCGATATTTGACTATTTACTTAGTTCACTGTGTTTCACGCTCAAGCGTTACTTCTGCGTTAGATCTCTAACTAGTAGCACCCGTCCCTCTGAAACCGAACTGATGATTACCGAAATCATTGTTTACCAAGGGAGAAGACAAATTCGGATTGCAGGCAAACAGAATTTAGCTATGAGACGGCTCATTCGTAGTTCAGCTGAAAAGAGACACTGGTGTGGAATGGGACAATAGTACACAAGAAACTCTGGACAAAACCGGAGCAAGAAATGAAAAAAACGTGCAATGACTGATATGGCACTCATCGAAATAAAATGGTCACATTTACTGAGCATCGTCTGCTAAAACATTGTGTTAAATTTCCTACTGCCATGCCACCCGAAGGTTGCACGAGGGCCGGGATACTGCCAGGTTGCCCGGGCCTAGATAGGGGAGGTCGAGAGGCAGAGGTCGTGTTCGAACCACGGAACTCCCGGTCAGTAAATTCGCGCTCTAACCGCTCTCGCTCCGACATTTTCAAACACCACGTCCGCCCGTTCAATTGTTTTTTTTTTATTTTTTCTATTTTTTAAATTTCCTACGGAAAAAAATAATTGGACTGACGGACATGTTTGAAAATGTCGGGTAAGATGTTATCCTAAAGGTGAATTTTAAACTGCATGAATTATCACAGGTCCCACAAGCTGGACAAGAGCACTCCAACTACGACTGGGACGAATATATAAGTAACTCATTTCCGAGCAGTGGTATTTCCCGTAAGTTCCTTTAAACTTCTTGGCAAAGTAGTGGCGTTGTTTATCTCCGCTCTATTCGACAGTGATACGACTTGACTTGACTTGACATGAAACAAGCTCAAACAATGGCCACAAGTGGGTCATTTCAGGGTCCACGTTGACATGTAAGTGATTTCCCAGCCAGCTCGTTACATCACACATGTCCACGGCAAAAAATGGGACAGTTCGATAGGGCACTGGAATTCCAGAGACTATGAAACCCGAAATATGGATTGTTGTAGCAACTTAAACCGTTCAGAGGACTGGAATAACATTCCAGGCACAACAGAGTAAATAGAGAAGATCGACTGAAAGGGAAATAGCCAAGTTCGAAACACATCTGCGAATAAGTCTACCTGTGGTCTAACGTGGTTACCAGCGATCTGAGAACGATCTTTTACCTAAATCTCCCATTTCGGCTGCTCTAAAGAATCCGGTGATTTATTTTCATGCGGGGGGGGGGGCGAGATGGCCCAACTGGTTAGAGCGCGAATTTACTGACCGAAAGGTCCGTGGTTCGAATCCGACCTCCGACTCTCGACTTCCCTTGTCTAGGCTTGGGCAACCTGGCAGTATCCCAGCACTCGTGCTTCCTTCGGGTGGCATGGTAGCTAGACACCGGAAGGGTGCTACAGCTGAACAGCTTTTACGTTCACTTTCCTGTATATGAAAATCTACACTAGGATTCAAAGCGTGGCCTACGATGTGGCCTACGATCGACCGGACAATCAATGTGTGACAGCAGTATGGCTCGATTCTGGCTATCGTTTCTACTGCATGACTAGCGAAAAAGATCAACATATCGGTAAAACGTTGAGGGTAAAGTGAGTGACCTTGGAGAATAGACAGCTCATTCAAAAGTCCTGGATCATATGTAATCGAGAGCAATTAACGTGTACTCGAGATGAATGTGGAAACTGTAGAACTACATACATTGTTTCAGTTGCTGTATGATTTAGACAGGGTTAGTAAGTGCAAAGAATTGAGCACAAGATGTGCATTCGCTGCAAGCTGAACTCAAAACACGAACACTACTACTGCTAAAGGAGCCTAGTAAGGACAGATGCTTACCTCTCTTCTTTTTCTTGGCTGGTGGTGGTTTGAACTCGGATTCCTCTGATTCTTCAGCTTCACAAGGTAGCGGACCAACGATATCTTCATTATCGGCATCTCCCTCCGGGAGCATCTCTGAGGGAAGTGGTCCCACAGTATCATCTTCGTCGGACATTTTCTAAAATAAAAAAGATCGTAGGGAGTAATCAGCACAAACAAGTACTGGCAATACCGCCTCTCAAGAACAGTCGCCCGAAGAGACCATCCTCACATGGGATGCTGAATATCCTGTCTCCAGTTATACCGCTGCTAAATGAATACAACTCATGATTCAGCGGATAATAGACAGGAATGTACGACCCTTTCCAAAAAAATAGAAGACCTCATTCTAAAACTTCATACCTACTCACCGTTCGCCATATACAGCACGGTCGTAACCATGATGCAGTCAGTGGAATAACAAGTCAATGTAGTCATCTAGATACACAGCTATCTCAGTTCTGTTGTCTCGTTAGGGAGAAAAACCACGTATGTACGGCTTTTACCGGATGAAGAAAATCTGACAGGACAGCAGTATAGACAACCTGGTATAGTTTGCTACATAGGAATGCGTATAAAACATGAATAGACCCACCGACAAACCACTAAAAACGATCGTCCACCTTAGGGCTTTCACACTATATTCAAGAGAATAGTTCAACTGAGAGTTTCTTCACTCATGGGATGATCAATGAGTCACCCTTCGTGATAGCCTAATTTCTACTAATGTGTTCGGAGGGCTTAACGTTGGTTTAAGCAATACTTAGGAGCACCTGCTTGGTGAGGCTCCTTAGAGTGATTATGCGGCAGCTCATAGCAAGATATATATATCACTTACACTCTTCGACAGTATCAACCACTTCCACCCACCAAACCGAATCATCATAACCCACAACCATATTCGTGATATGGCGTTCCGTTTAAGTGACCAAGTCCTGGCGGACGAGGGGACTAAAACATAGTTCATCGATCGGGACTGAAATAATAGATGGTTTTACGGACCCATTTTTATCTTTGAGATGAAATGAGAGTAAATCATGAGCGCAGAGTTACGCTCATTAGATACGCCATGAGTGCTGAAAACGTAATCCCTCTTCTGACCGTCACAGAACTCGACTACGTCGTCACCGTTAAATCATAATGCGTGTACCAGAATACAGTTTCTTATGATATGATACCACTTATAATGTGGGTGGAAAGCCTCGGGTACTGATTCTATCCATATCATATTTCCTCCGGGCTATCAATAGCCAACTTACGAGACAGACCAGCCACAACCGGTCACTGATTCCAAAGAGACAAGCGTAAGTTGACAAGAGGTGGCAACGCCTAACCGTAAGCCCTAGTCTAGTAGTTCGCCGCTCACTAGAAAAGTCTTGTTGGTGAAACAAATTCGGTGCGATTGGAACATTAAATCGGACGGAAACACACAGCATTGTCTAACAAGGAAAGTTCACGAGGTTAGTTAAACCCCGTAGTCTGGAACGCTGCTGTCCGACCGTGTATCTAAGAAATACATAGCTCGGGAGCTAGAGGGATATAGCTCACACATTAACGATTATAACTTCTGTACGTTGATGATTTCGGGCATCCACCAGGTAGCATCGGCTTCAGATACGAAGCAATGATTACGAAAGAGAACGCTTCAAACTATTGGCATTCCCGGTGGCTTCAGTTTGTTGGTTCATCATGGTCGATAAACCCGGGAGTGTGAATTAATAAAATGAAATGTGATTGATACCTCATTAGCCGTAAATACCGATTTCGGTGAAACTGACACTCGTAGTCAGAGTGTGCGGCCGCGTCGATGTCCCTCAATTACGATTGAGTGAAGCGGGCATCAACTTGGTTCACCACCATCATCATCATCGAACTACAGCAGCAACTTCAGTTGAGCAGTCCTGTTAGGCAAGAAGTCTGACATAAACATAGAAACACTTGTACTGCTGACACCTGTCCACAGTCGTGTATAGTAACGCCTCCTATCTGGCTTATCAGCCATATCGTGAGTCAACCATATACCGTGATTGTCATTGCACGTTCAGTTTTCCTTCCTGCTTGCGACAACGACTTTAGTATGAAAAGCGGCAATATTTCCAGCAGACGGTGACTGAATAAGCTCCTGTGTGGGCAAACCTTGTCGAGAGGGAAAAACTAGATACGCGAATGGCAAGAATTCATACTCTAACAAAATCCGACAACTGTCTGCAAACGGAAACGAACGCGCGCCTCCAGTGGTCAGTCCGTTTCACTGGCACGTGCTTAAAATCCCGGCTCACCCGTGCAGGGTGAAGAAGGTTAATAAAACAACCCCGAGTTCCTTCAATCTCATCCAGTGACACAGAGTCCATTTGTTTGGCCACCAGTGAAGCACTATCGATCGGACGAATTCAACCGACCATGTGTTCAAAAGTTTGAGCGGCGCACGCTTGAACTGTCTTGGCAAGCTATTCGCTATTTCACTTGTTGATCCTCGCCTCGCGCGGCTGACCGTTCAGTTGTTTTTGCTGCATGTACCATTTACTCATTTTTGTGTCGCGGTGGAGTGCCGGTTGGAAAATTACTCAAAATGCCTATTTGCTATTGGATTGATACCATGCACATTAGAATCGAATGATATACCAAAGTTAGAGCACGTCCAGACGAATACCACTACCCTTATTATCAATCCCCTACCTGGGGGACGCCCATCATCGGCGTAGGGAAAGCTA